CGCGGATTAAGACCTTCTTTGAGCCATGATTTTGTAATATTCTTTCCATTGGCAGACCATTTTCCTTCTATACTAGACTTTTCTATCCATTCTTCAACTTTTTTTTGTAAAGATGCTAAATCTAAAAACATATGTTTCGATTCTCTTGTGATAGGTGCATCGTTATCTGTTTTGCAGCGTGGGTTAATCAACTCGGTGGCATTAAGGAGATTCCCGCACGAATCACATTGATCTCCACGAGCATCCTGTAGAGAACTAATTACTTTACTGAATTTTTCGTTTATTTGTTTCAACAATGCAAAAATGGGAATTACACAAACCACATATCCACATTTTGGGCAAGTACCTTCAACATAACGATCTGCAAGAAATCTACGTTTTGTGCATAATTTAATCGAGATATATGAGGTCAAAATAAAAATATATGCTTTGCTATATACCGTTGGCATCTTTCACAGAACAGCTGGACCATGGTATCTTCGCTAAGATAACCGTTTTTAAGTAATTTCAAAAATATATCCTGAGCGATCCTATGGGGTAAATTTTAATTACTTTATATTTAATCGGGTGAATGAAAAAAATTGACAAAAATCATGCATACTCTGTTTGTTGCGGGGTTGTGGTCCGACCAAAGTAATCGAATCCTATGTCGAACCATTTATAAACTTGGGTGTGAATGGCGTAATATTTATCACAAAGTTCCTGGCATGTAATGCCTTCTTCTATTGCCTTAGTCTCTGTGGCGGTTCCGTATTCGTCGGTTCCGCAAATATAGAGTGTGTTATAATTGCGAGCACGAGCATATCTAAAGAAAAAAAAATCGTTCTCAGAGGTGCTGTAAATAAAGAATGTTTGTAGATCCAGTAAAAAATACCTAGCAAATATGTCTGCACTCAATACACTTCCAATAATGTTTCCCAAATGAGGAATATTGTTAACGTAGGGTAGAGAACTGGTGATTAATATGTTTCGCTCTCCTGGAATGGGAAGTCTAGAAATTTACGCGCTAAATGTAATATTGTTTCTAGACATTTTTCAAACACCATAATGTACCTCAAGAAACACACTTAATTCCGTCTTTCTCAAGAACGAGGGCAACATTTGGATTTACTTTTCGTACCTTGGGATCAAGAGAAGGATTAGCCATCCTAGGACTTTTAGGCCCGGTCTTAGAATCAGGCAGTTTCAAATAAATATCTACGTTACACTACCTTGTTGTTTGATAATCTACTAGTCTAGTTATATCTACATGTGGCTTTATTAACTTTATATAATTCCGTTGTTTATATTATTCGCTGTTTTCAAGAGTAAATCGCATAATCAATTTATGCTTTTTCGATTTTTCAGTACAAAAAAATAATTTATACATACAGTGTGATGTAAAAAATTTCCTGAAATTTTTTTATTTATTCAATTATTTTAATTTTAATTTATAGATTTTAAATTCTTATAATTCTTTTTAAAAATATTTTCGTTTAATTAAATTAAAATACAATATAAAATTTTATAATTTCAAAGATTTTAATACTAGGTAACGGGAACCGTTGAATTGTCCGAAGAGTAATCTCAAAAGTTCAGGTCACATAATATATGCTATCGTTGCGGCTTTTGGGTTATTTATCATATGCATTACCGTTGCAGCTTTCGGGTCATTTATTATATGTGCCACTATCGCAAAAAAAAAAGTTCAGGCACTATAATCCACTATATATAATGTGACCCAAACTTTTGAAGTTACCCTAATAGAGTCATACGAAGTATAATACAGTATATCACAAAAATATACACAAAAATTAAATGCTTTTCTTCAACTATTCTTTCTTTTAACCTCTTATAAATTTTAATACGCTGAAGTCTTTCAAGAGAAAATGGATTAAAAAGAATATCTCTAAGAGTACGAACTTGAGACATTGCTACAAATGAAAGACCAGCAGCAAACTCTTTTTTTCCAATATCTATTATGATCTTTTCAAGTGTTAAGCCTTGACTTTTATGAACCGTAATTGCCCATGCAAGGCAAACAGGAATTTGTAAGCATGAGCAAGGACCTTTTTTTCCTTCCCAATTATGCTTAACCGGTAAAATTGGAACAAGTCTTTTATTATTATTCAATATAGCAGGACCTGAATAATTGTCAAATTTCACCATTATTACAATAGGAAGAGAAGGTGGATTCTGATTTTTTTCAAAACATATTTCTATAACAGTACCTAAGGAACCATTAACTAAATCAACTTCGGTCCATAAATTTGTTCTGAGCATAACTCTTGAGCCTCTAGCTAATAACAAACAAGACTCAAGACCTTTTGCCATATCAGAATCTGTCCTATGAGATTCAGAGCCACCCGTATGAACTGTGTTAATCTTGGCAATAGGCAAATTCAAGGATCTAAGTTTATTAATGTTAAATTTAGCAACATCTGATCTACAAGGCATAATACATGTAGCATCAGAAAATCGGGCATGATCTGAAGATAATAATATGTCTGGTGCATCAGAAAATCATGTAACAAGTAATCTCCAGTCATCCTCAGTCAATTCATCATTACGCAAGTACAACAGAAGATCTCTAAAATTGTGTTGCTTATTTGAATTACCAGATTGACATTGAACAACATTCAGTTGATAGCTCTTACGAAACTGTTGATAAATTGCAATAGCATTAGTGAATAAGGAATCTCTATAAGGAATTTGAGAGTATATTGGTTCATCAAGTACTGGAGGTAATTGATCAAAATCTCTAACAAGAATTATCGATTATCCACCAAATACTTGATTTCTGCATCTAGGGAAGGCCTGACGCAAACGTAAGTTTATTAATGCAAGCATGCGACATCCAACCATACTTATTTCATCAATAATAAAATAATAAACTTCATTTAATTTATTTTGTAGTTTTTTCAGACTCTGACTATTCAAATCGAAGGTTTTGTTTGAAATCGGAATAGATAAAGATGAATGAATAGTCATACCATGAATGTTAAATGTAGCAACACCTGTTGGAGCAAGTAACATTAAAAGTAAAATATCAATACAATAATCCCAAGCAATTTTATCAAGTCGATTTTGAATCATTTTGATCAAAAATGATTTTCCAGTACCAGCAGTACCTAATACGATAAACTTGAGCAGATCAACAGATTCCGGATTGGTAAGTAAAGTAAAGTAGTGAGACTCAATTCGATTGAAGACCATCCTTTAATTTTGATTCAAAGATTGAGCATTTACTATATGATTTGGTAAGATATTGTAATCAAAATCTGTTTGATCCGTATCCGAGTGGTAGTTTTTAGAAGGAATTAGAGATTATATAGAACAGTC